AGATGATGCTGACAACAAATTCTGGCAGCTCTACTATAATTGGAGAGCTTGGAAAGTTGGAAATTCAGAAGAGCAACTGTTGGATTGGGACCAACAGCTGAAGAATGAGAAGATTATCAAGAAGTGCTTAGGTATTCCAGTCAACCACAACTGTGAAGATATTTTGAATGATTACTGGGTATGGCAAAAGAACCCAGAAGACCTGCATATGGAATACCTGGCCAACAAACTAGTTTCAGACTGTGAAGCAGATGATGAAGACACTGCTGTCTTCAAGCCAGTATTCACTAGAGTCACAGAAGAACAAATGGCTCTCACCTATGAAGAAATAGCTGTTTTGGAAGCAACAACTGAGGACTTCCCTATCTTTCCGGAAACCTCAGCTGCGTTTGAAATGGTTCTGACTGAAACTATTCAAGAGAAGGCAGCCTCTCCCCCACAAGAGCAGAACCAGGAAGCAACTGAAGAAGAAGAATTTCAGCGACTGATTCAATCTCAAGTGTTCGAGATCCTCACTACTCCTTGTGAGATCTCCAATCAGACACAACTTGAGATTCTGGAAAAGTCAGCAGCAATTCCGGAACAGTCAGCTATTCCAGATACCATAGAGCAAGCTATTGAAGTACAAAGGCATTCTGAAGAAGCTGAAAAGGAAACTCAAATGGCAGAAGTGGAGCTCTCTAAAACTCCAGCAGCCATCTTTGAAGAACAGAATGCACATGAAGAAAGAGACTCCCTCTCTAGGGACATATCAAACTTTGCCCTTGATGAAGCAATAGGAATATCTGAAAGGACACTAAAGGTCACTGATGAAGAAGATGTACAAGAAGATGCTGAATCTCTTCCTTTGCAACTCTTCCAAAGGACATCATCTCCTCATCAGGTAACCAATTTTCACTTCCATAGCTCTTCAACCCCTACCCTTCCGGATGAGATACCGGAAATCTGGACAAAGAAGGTCCAAGGGCTGATTGAATCAGTCCTAGCATCTCAACATGCCTCCTTTAGGCAAGAGATAGAGCAAATGGAAGCCAAGTACACACAACTGCTAGAGAAATCAGAAGAGAAACATAGCGCTGATCTCAAGGAGATAAGTAAATCTGTAGACCAGACTCTAGAGATCATCTCTCTATTGAGCAAAACTGTGAGTAATACAATGGAAGTATACACCTCTGACAGTCAAATGCAATTCAAAGAATTCAACAAAGTCAAGGAGCAAATAGCAAGTGTCACAGTTAGTCTACAAAAGCAGATGTCCCTTCTCCAAATGGACATCAGATCAGCCCTAGCAGTAGCTTCAGCAAATCAGGTAGTAATCAAGGACTACTTGAAGGTGATTAATAACAATCAAAAGGAAGCATACAAGATGTTCAGACTTCTTGGTGCAAACTCTGGGAACCGCAAAATGGAAGTGATTCTCCAACAACACAATCCATCTCCAATACCCCAGCTACCCATTGCAGTCAATGAAGGAGAAGCATCTTATATCCCTTCTCATCTGAACATGACAAATCTGATTCTTGGAGCACAGCAAAGGAATCCGGAAAGCTCAGCTCAGCATCTGTCCAGTTCAGGACTGGATGGAACAGAGTTTATAGGTGCAGTAGCTGACAACTTCTCAGATGATGCTCAAGCAGAGGAAAGGCGTGAGAATCTAAGGCGCATCAAAGAACTCTGTGGAAACATGCAAGGCATCAGTGAGGTTGCCGGATCTTCCAAGCGCAAGAGAAACTGAAGGTTTATTTCATCAAACCAGGGGGAAAGTATGTGAAATCACCAATTTTGTTTTGACGAAAACACCTTCCTAAACATTGCTTGATTGGTTTAAACATTGTTCTTAATTATGCTTATTATGCTTGATTATGTTTATCTCAAGTATGATTTGTCTTAATTATTTTCTCTGAAAGCGCATACATTCAGGGGAAATATAATTCAGGGGGAACCTACCTAATTTTGGCTAACACTTGTTTTTGGCTATGAATTATTGATGAGCTCTAAGCAATGGAAGTCGGATGTCTCAGGTTTGGTACTAAAATTGGAAATCTCCGATTCAGGTACTTTACAAAATCTGCCTTCTTAAACTAAGCTTAAATCCTTAATTCATTTCCAACTAGCTCTAAATGTACTGGTCCTTAGGATTTTTATAATGTACAAGACTTTGGAAAAATAGTACCACTTTTCTTTTAAAAATAAATAAAAATTCATATTTATTTTGGTACTACCTCGTCCTAAGTAGAAATTAGAACTATAGGGAATGAAAAATGATAGTTTTATTTTGGGCCTTGAGAACCCAATAGGAATAATTTCCCTTTAGTACATAGCTTTCTTTTTGGGCCACTCTTTTGGGCTTAGCCAAACTAAAACAGTTACGTTTCTCAAACCAAATGAAACTGGTTTTCAATTTGGAACAGTTTCAATCCATTGGTAACGGGTAAAAGATTCCTTCTACTTTTCAACTTCTTGGAAGTTGAAACTCCTTTACTCTCACCGTTCCAACTACCCACTTAATGGAACCCGTGAACCTCCTCCTCCCCTATTTAAATCAAGATATCCCAATCCATTTCCATCACAAACAACTCTCTAAATATGAAAGTCTTCAACTTCACTGCCTGAGAAAAACACCAAGAAAATACCCTCAATGGAGAAATTTCTCTTTCTCACCCTCATAGACGGCAATGGAGAAAAGCCTAGTGAGAAGGAAAGTAATTCAAAGTTTATGGTGCAATTCTCGGCAGTAGAGAAAGTTTATGGTGTAATTCTCGTATTTTTCAGGATTATACCATACACTTTCTCTGGAACAACACTCTCTCTATTTTTCTTTTTGTTTTTGCCTTGATCTCTTTCCCCTCCCCTTTCCTTTCTCTACTTTTTCTAAATCTTTTTGAGCAGCTCCTCCTAATTTTCTTACAAGTTTTTTTTTTGGGTGGTACCTCTGCTCCCTTCTCTCATGGAGTTCTCAAATTTCCTTTAGAACTCTTTTTCAAATTTTTTAAAATTTTATCTTTTTCACAATCAATTTTCTTTTCCAAAACCTTTCCCTTCTGTCTCTTTCTTTTCTTCCACCGCCGCCTCCTTTCCCGCCGCTTCTTTTCATTTTTCGTTTTTTTTTTAGTTTTTGGAGAGATGTGTTGCTTCCAAGATCTTGGTTATCCACTTTGGATAATAAAGATCTATCAAACGCAACGCCAACCGTTTCGTCAAGCAGAATCTGCTGAAGTTGAAAACGGTCAAGGCGGAAGATATCACAAAATCTCAAGACAAGACTTGGTTTAGGAATTGTTGTAATTTGAATTGTATTTGCTTAAGAGTTTTTGTTAACAAGCTGTATATTATGAGAGACTAAAAGAAAGTTATAAAATTAGTTCTCAGTACAGCGACCGGAACTCTTAAACACCTGTTTGTCATCATCAAAAAGGGGGAAATTGTTGGGAAAAATATTATAGATTTTGATGATGATGTATTTAGAATGCATTAGGGACTTTAGGTCTCCCCCAATGTTCAATGTAATTTCTCTTTTTAGAAATACTGTCAAAACCGAGCTCTTGAGATTTCCAATAAAATGTGATTATCCTTTAAGCGTTTTGATGTCTGAAGACTTAATCAGATTCAGTGATATGGAAATTGGATATCTTGTTCGGAAATGTCAGAGACAAGTAAGGATTTCTCAATCAGATGTAAATCCTCAGATCCGGAAGACTACATAAGAACCGGAAGTCTCGCTACTACCCGCTTAGGCTATGTCGGAAGACTAGCGCGGATCTCTTTCTCACCCGGAAGACTCAGAATGACCTCTCCGGATCTGTCAGCTAAGAATCGGAAGACTCATTGAAGCCCGGAATTCTCAAAAAGC